ACCCCCCCCCTAGGTCAGATGGCTAGTTACGCCAGTGGCTATACCAAAATAATACTCTTCACCAATGCATCTCTGATAAGAGGCTGTGGCATAAAATCTTATAGTACATAGCACCATGTTTTCTAGAGTAACTTCCTTAGCAACTATTCTCTCTAGTACATGTGGTCGTATCAACTGTATGAGTTCTGTAGTTGTCGTCTATTAAGACGAAATAACTCTACAAATCTTGCCACTGGAAAAGAAAAGGGTTCCTGCTTGTCCCCTAAAATTTGTCTTCGTCGAACAAGCTCCAAGATTTTGGCAACGTTTATTTCTTTGCCTTTGCAAAATAACGTGGATAAGTGGTAACATTTTTATTTTTAAGAGAATTGAGAATTTCACATATAATATTGACAAAACCGACGAAATTTAACCTAATTCGAGACCTCCGAACTTGTCGAGGCATTTCGATCGAAATAAATCGATCAGTCGAATGTCATGAACAACTCCTTTCGATTTTCGATTAAAGATGACAAACTATAAACGATTATCGAGTTTCGTGATCCCACAGCAGCAGTGGAATTCCGTTTCTCGATCTCTATCGAATCCGCCATATTTATCCGATTATCGCGTTTCCATTTCACGAGCACCGATTCGATATTCGATTTTTATATTCGACTCACAAAGTGGAGTCGAATGTCGAAATAACTAATGACAGTCGTTAAAAAAAACTTCATTTGAGGTGTCAATTAATTTTATTAATTTTTTGATTCAAACCGGAGTTTTTTTATTGTGTGATCTTAAAACTGCTCAAAGTTCTACAAAAATAAAAAAATGGCATTTAGAATGCGTGAACCGCATTAAGCCGGTCCCAGACACTACGTGTATTCGGCGAATATTCGGTATTCGGGTTTATTCGCGTAGCGTGTGGGAGGGTAACTTTGGCGAATATTCGTCCTTCGTCATTTTCCCGCCGATTGTCGGTAAACTGGCACGAAGCAAGAGAAGGCGAAGTGACGCGAAGTCCACTACGTGTGACTTCGCGCTGCTCCCAGACGGTCTAAGGTATATGCCATGGTGTTTTGTCAGTTTATAGCGGTGTACAGTGCCGCAAGGTTGATTTTTGCATTTCTAGTTATTTTTAATTAAAAAAAGAAATGGAGAGGACCATTGAATTGACGATAAAATTTTTACAATTCTTTTAAAATGAACCTGTCATTTGGAACCCAAAGATACCAGGGCCCGTATTCTCGTAACCGGGGAACAGCCTTCTCTCAAGAGAACGATTGCTCTGTCTTTGTTAGTATTATGGAAATAACAATATGGGTAACTAAGACAGAGCAATCGTTCTCTTGAGAGAACGCTGTTCCCCGGTGACGAGAATATGGGCCCAGAGGTGTGTTCTCGCGTCTCAAAGTTTTGAAACATTTTTCAAAACTAGTTTAAAACAGTTTCACAATGACGTCATAACTTCTCTTGCGCGAGAAAATAGTTTAAAAACATAGATTGGATTATATTTCGAAGCGGTTTGAACCAATTTTGTGTGAAATCATAGGTTCATCGCGAGATATACTATTTCAAACCTATTTTGAACCAGTTTCAAAGTGAACGCGAGAAAACAGCTCAAGGGCCGGTATTCTCGTTCTCGAAAACGCTCACCGCTTTTCAGTCGCTCGGCAGTTTCAATGTAAATTTGCATTTAAAGTGCCGAGCGACTAGAAAGCGGTGAGCGTTTTTGAGAACCAGAATACCGGCCCACAGATCTGCCGAAAATGACAGAAGTAGCGGCGGCAACAATCTGCTCTTCGTCACTGTCCATTTTCAACTAAAAAAGCGTCATGCATGAAACGCCACTGAAAAAACGACGGCCCTCTGCTTGAAAACTTCGCCGAACAATTGTCAAGCCAAAGCTTCGCCATACCAGAACGCCGTGTGGGAGACTAGGCAAATATTCGTGCGAATAACGAATATTCGCCTATTCGCCGAATACACGTAGTGTCTGGGACCGGCTTTGGGAGATGCTGGTTACTTTCCTTGAGGCCAACCAACGCATCTCTGGTAAGAGCCTACTGCATAGTACCTTAGAGCACAAAATATTTTTGACTCAAAATCAACACCTTTCATGCTCTTACGGTCTTCTAACAATGGCCTTAACTCTTCCATTAAATTTCGCACCAATCTGAAAACATTAAATTTTATTAAAAAAACTTATAAGCATCATCTTGAACACTGTTGGATACCTCTTGTCCAGACGAAAAAGTTCTCTAAATCTTTGGTCAGGAAAATCAAATAGGTTTGACCTGGATCTAAGAGATATACGCCTTCGTATTAGTTCTCGTCTTTGTCTTGGAATAAAATCCATTCACGTACAACGGGTAACATTTTTCACAAAAAAATTAATCCTTTTATTTTGATTTTATGATTGTTTATGATTTTTCACTCAAATTGTGCTGAATGAGGTTATGTTCTCATATTTTCTTCTATTTATTTTCTCAGTAGTTCAAAAATTCATCTGAATTTGACCTAAACCTCGACGATTACCGAATACATTTTCGATCAAAAAATGGAATAGCTTTGAACAATACGATCGACTAACCAATCGTGACGATATCGGATAGCTCGACGAAAAATGGAATTCCACTGCAGGTTCTACAGCCTGTCAAAGTTGCAAAAAGTCAATTTTCAACTGTCAATATTTCCAAAACAGTTGAACTTCCAAAACAGTTGAACTTAGGTATAGGGTATATCACATGAAATCTGCTTAGAATTTTACGTAGAATCCAAATATGCAATTTAATATGGGGTGTTCCATTTAAAATAGTGATCTTGCCACTAGTTTAGAGTAGAAGCGGCAACACCGCATGGTCAAAAATATTTTTAAAGTGTAGATCATGGTCGTTTATCCCGGTTGCCAAATTTTCAAAATGATCCGCTTTTTAGTTCTCCATAAACGTCTAATACGCCATCCACCGTGGGACACCCTGTATTATTAAAGAAATTTAATTACAAAATTACTTATTTTTATATTTTTACGTTTACTTTCAAGAATGATTGAAAAAAATTATGTATTAAATCGATTTGATGTTACAATAAACAAAATTTCTAAGGTAAAAGAACTGCCCCGCCTCAAAGGAACCAAAAAATCAAACAATGTCAAAAAATTATAACATTTTTGAAATACATATTCACAAATTAGATTAATATGGATTAAAATAGAAAATAGGAATATTTAAAATAGTTTTTCTACGAACGTGTTAAAAATGCAATTTTGAACACCCCCTCGAAGCATTAAAAATGTTACTTTATCGCACTAGTGCCATAAAGTCTTTATAGCACTAGTGTTAAAAATGAAACATCAAATTTTGAGAGCGAACGTCAAAAAAAGTTTGTATTTTTAGTTATTTACATTGGTATTAATGGTGAAATTTGAACAACTAAAGTAGCCCGATTGGCCGCCTCATCTATATTTTTCGAGTGATCGATGAAACCCTTTTTTTCTTCTGTATTTTCTTGCATTTTTAGCAAAAAGCATTACTGACCACGAAAAACTTCCAAGAAACTGACAAGACATTTCATTACCTGTTAAACAAGGTGCTGGTTGTTCGGATTATTTGACAAATGTCAAATTCAATAATTGGTGATAGATCACTTTAGGTCCCTTTGATTTTCAATATGATTTTGATTATTACTGATAAACAAAGCAATTTCAAGATGATTAGCGAGAAAAAAAATATGGATCCTTGAATATTTATGAAGTTATGATTTTTTTAATTTAATTTTTTTCTTTGTTGATTGTGCATCTTTGATAGGTAGATATAGCGATATTAAGCTGATAAGAATAGATATTATTTATTGATCTGTGTCAAAGGTTGAGAAGCAAGAGGATATAAGACATTAGTGACTAGTGTTTTTTTACAATTATTATTATTTTGTGCATTTATTTTGTTGACTTTAATAGATTTCTATATTTTATGGCAAAATCAGCATACCACCTTGGTAAATATATTTACAATATTTAATGTTTATGGAAAAGGGTTGAGGTTTTTTACTGATTTTATTAATTTTTTACTGGTTTTTTACTGACATTTTCAAAATTCCTACCTAATTTGTGATTAGTTTCCTTAATTAACTTAGTAGTTGTCTATTAATGACCTGACGGTGCAATCTTTGCATTAAAGTAAATGGTCAACATTTTGAACAATTATTGTAAACCATAATTTATTTGTTGATAAATAAGCAAAATTAATAAGTAAACAGTGATTTAATTATTGCGAAGAATAAAAGTACCAAACAATTTTTTTGCTCTACAGCCCAAATGGCTCATTTGCGGACATATGTTTATATAAACAAAAATGCT